AAAAGTGAAAAAACAATTTAACTGGCAGGCAACAAGCAGGATCTTTAAAATTCTCATGTTTGGGTTGTCACATCTGGTATATTAAACCTGACATTGTCCCTGTAGTAAAGCCATTTCCTTCTAATCTTTCTTCAGAAAAACCAACAGAACAGCAAATTAAATGCAATCCTCTCCTCAGTTCTCAATTCCATGCTATTTCAGTGTTGATGAATCAGGTCATGTAATAATAAAATTCCTGCAGAAATAGGATCTTAACTGTGTAACCTTCAAATCGCAGTTATGCTGCTGTGCGCATTTAATACTGTACTTGACATTCCTCTTTTCCATTTCACTTCTGGATGACATTAGGATTTGCAACAAGGACCTCCTTCAGCTCTCCCAGGTTACCATTTATTTTAAAGTATCCCCAAGGTCTCCAGCACCGTTTAGATCAAACTTACAAAAGTCCCTGGTACTAGTGGGTTTTGTGGGTCCCTTGTGTTGTCTCTAAAAACAGGTTCCATTGTGTTCATATTATGCTTTTAAATTTTATAGCTCATTTTTAAATTACATGTTAATTTCTAAAAATGTTAAATTGCGAGGAAAAGTTGGCAGGGACCACACAAAATCACAGCACTACTCTGCAGCTTGCGTGTGTCTCTCTATAGTACTTCTGTGCATGGCTATACCCTTATATTTAAGTGCTCTTTATGAATGTGGACCCAATCCTGCAGTATGCTGAGAGTCTCATCAGAGCCACTCAGTGTGCTGCAATAAATGACCCAGGATCATGCTCTATAAATCACAAACTTTGCAAGATCCAAATGAAAGTAAGAAAGGAAGGCGAGAGGAAAGAAAGAGGCAGTAGTAATGAAAACATCAGAAACAGAGCACACTCCTGAGTATAAACATCTAAAAATAGAGATCAAACATCTTCAAAAATCAACCAGTCATTCAAGAGTTTAAAATCCACCCTCCTTTCCAGGCCTGCAAGTCTTTAGTTTCCTCACTATTTTTATTTGTTCTGGCTTTTCTACTGCACTAAGTAACATCTAAAGTGAAATCAATGAAAATCTGCCTACAGAAAAAAGTTAGAAAACTCCCTGTCCTGCCGTTTCATCTCTCTTTTTCTCATTTTAATTTTTGCTTTCATTCACCAAATGCAGCTCACCAGACAGCGATATCCCAGAAAGTTGGGATTTTTCATTTCCTTGTGCTATAATGATACAGATCATTTTGTTCCCGCAGGTGACTGACGATCGGGTACCCGCAGAGCACTGCAGCGTGATTACAGGAGAAGTCAGCATCTTGGTGATCCGTAAAACAAAGACTGCCGCTGCCGCTTTAGATTTATGTCCAGCTTCACTATAAACATCATTAGATCTTTCCCTTATAGATTTCTGGCGCGCTTGTTGCAGTCAGAGTGTTGTTTCTGTGTACATTCGTACAACAAATACAGATAGGCAAGTCTGGTTTTGGTTATTCCTGTCACACAGAGAACCTGCTGTGAATGACAGCATGCCAAGGAGTTAATGAAAACTTGTTCTCCAACATGGATTTTTAACTAAACACAAACACTGAACCAAGCCTTTCAGTGGTCAATTTAAGACACATATTTGACCAATTATATATATTTATACATTATACCTGCACTATGATTAATCTGAACTGATATTTTCTGCCTTAAGTGAACACATTCGTGTATGTCACGTTATATACATAAGCATATCAGCTTACGACAGAAACGCTTACATATGTGTCATATCCAAATACAGTTGCACTCTTTACCAGCTGCTCCATTCTCCCTGCTGCCTGCGCCACGTCCCGCTGCAGCTCCCCAGCTTCCTGGGACATGCAGCCAGAGTGGTATGGAGTGGCTGGGAGCAGCGGCAATACAGGCACCGCACCTGTGAGGCCCCTGGCTCGGGATTTGCTGCTCCCACCCCTGCACTAAAGCTGCTTCCCACGAGTTTGCAATTGTGCTGAGGTATAAAGCGAGGCTGCTTTCCTGACAATCAGTTATATAGCCTGTCCTTGATCTTTACCCGGGATTTCCCAGTTGCATGAAGCTAGAGCAGCATATGGTCCCGTGTTTATAAGCATGTTAATGACTGCAATGGGAAACCGTAGAGCCTGTTTTCCTTATAAACTTTAAACTGTAATTTCTTGGTTTTGTCACTGGACGCTGCACTGTACCCTGTTAATTTGGCATGGGCTGTTGAGGCGCTCGTGGCCACACTGGCCCTGGGCACTGGGTGACTGAAGTTGCTCTGGACACACTGATGTACCCAAAATTAGGGTCTGGCCCGTAACATGAACCAGACGCAGTGAGTAAGCTTTCTACTCACAATCTGCTACAAAAAGTTCCTTTTCCAGGGAAGCAGAATAACAAATTTGCTTCAATGCCAATGACTGCCTGCTCTTAGGAGCATAGCAACCTTGCCAAACATATCTCAAAAATAAAATGTCAATCATTTTCCACTCTGTGCTTTTTGAAATACCACTCAAATTGTCTTTATAAACTAAAACACCTAGTAGGGACTTCACAATTCTGCTTCCACTCCTTTGAGTTAAAAATCAGCTGGTTTGCTTAACAAAAAATTTCAGTGGGGACCTCCTTGTAATTGGCGATACCTTGCTTAAAAATACATTTGCTGCTTTCTGGAAGGAATGAGTGGTACAGTCAGCCATACCCTGCTATTTTGCTTAACCAAAATGGATTACAGCTATTTTTGAGAGCACAGATACAGCTCTGCTACATGACTGCACTGAAAACTGCCATCCTAGGTATTCAAATTACAGAGAAAAGACATAAAAAATAAAACATCCTTATTTATCTCTTCCTATCTAACAAGTATTTGGATAAACTATTTGTAAACAGATTTTATGAATGAAAGATAACTTGAAAATATCTGCTTTGTTCATGAAGGGCTCAGTTTCTGCATGTTATAACATCATTAGAAAATCATTAACACTGTAATCTTGCAGCTGGAGAAAGCCTATTTGTACCCATTACTTCCTGAATGCATACACATATATAAGAAGTATATACCAAATAATAAAGTATGTGCACATGATCTTTTTCTATCAGCAGGATACTGCTTGCCTGCTTTGGAAGTGTAAAAAGAATAAAACTGTCTCCTGAGAGCTGCTGGTCTGTTCTCATCAAAGGCCATAGCACTTCAAAACAATAACAAAGATATCAAGGAACTGACTTAAATAACATCTGAAGAAGAGTTCTAGGAATGTCTAGGAATGAAGTTTAAGGACAAATATACCAATTTTTAGTCATTCCAGCCCAACTGTGTTACCGTGTGCCTGTCTCACCATCCCCATTAAAGTCCATGTTTTTCAGTGCAGCTTGAAACTTTGCAAGAAGAACTTAATTCAGTAGCAAATTTATTACAATTTTCAAAAAGTCATTGTGTCCATTTTTAAGTTATAGTATAAAAGTACAGAAAAACAGAAGTTTACATAGCTGAGCTGCTGCATCTGTTCTTGAGTAACTTTTAACTTAAAAACAAAACTTGGTAGGCAATATGCCCATAGTGCGGTCCAAATGCATATGGTATATTGGGAAAAAAAAAAAGCTGAATGAGCAGAGAGAGTTAATTCTGAAACTTGCTCATTGTGCATGCACTATTCTTGCTCCCCAAGAGAACCCGTTTCTCTGAAGGGCGACCACTATGCCACCTTAGTTATCCCCTGACAAGCTGCACACTCTAATGTCCCCTATGCTCACCAGCGCATTCAGCCTCCTGAAATCATTGTGGTCCCTCTACAGGGACAATAAACACATGAAATGTGCAAGAAAAGAGAGGGCAAAGGCTGCAAACTTGAGAGGTTGTAAAGGCGAGGGGCACCCAAACCTGCCTGTCAGAGAAGCCAAGGGAAACCAACATCACCTAAATCTATATGAACTTCAGTGCAAAACCCTCCAGTGCTCTTAATCAATATTCATCCATCCCAAAAGCAAAGCTGCCCACAGGGTGGTCCCTGGCAGAATAAGCTCCCTGAGAAAGGCCCTGGGACAACATGAAGCGCTGCTGCCATGGCTGTAAACCCTGAGGTGCTGGCGGAGAACTCCAGAACTTGGGATGCAAAACTTCATTTTTTAGAAAGATAAGGGTGCAGACAGACTTTGCCTTACACCCCCAAAGGAATACAGAACAAGCTTCACAAGAGAAGCCTTCCAGGACTCCCTGCCCCACAGGGAATGAGCAAGTCCTGATCTCACCCTGATTTACAGCAATTTACTGGCATGAACCAGGCAGTCCCATGTGCCTTTCTCTGACTGGTAATGAAGAGCATGATATAAATCATGCTTTCATGTTTTTATTGATAAGATTAAAATAATAAATGATGTGTAACCCTTCAAAAGAACACTAAGCCAAGATATTTAATGGCCAAGTCTGTGGCCCCTTAGCTCAGTGCACTATCTCTAGACAATGATGCAGAAATTGCTCTAAACTAATCCATGTATTTGTAAGAGATACATGATCACTAAAGGGTCATGCACTGGACAAAGCAGTCTGTGAAAAGATGCTGTACAACAAGGGAAGGTGTTCATGCACACTCCACTGGGAGGCATATGGCTCATGGAAGTTCCACAAACAGACACCTTGAAATTTCAAAGCCCTCCTTTTCCTCCCAACTGGGACACTAGTCCTCCCCTAGTCCTAGTGAGTGCTTTAGTCGGACCTTAGCCTTCCCTTATTTTAGGAGTTTTCTCCTTCTTTAAGCTTGTCTTAGTGCTCCCCAAACCAGCCTTTAAGTGTCATTTCAAAAATCAGCCCCACAGCTCCAGCTTCATTAGCAGTCAGTAAAAGCATTTAACTACAATACTGCAGGTAGAACTTCTCCAGTGAATGAAAGTGTGGACAGGAGTTATCCACTCTCCTATAGAGGATGGATAGGAGTTAGCCACTCTTACAAAAGGCACGATCAGGTGACACTCATTTCAAGTGACACCATCCACCAAAGCTGGCTGTATTAGAAAAGATGCAGGAAGAATTCCTTACCTGGCCGGTAGACAAAATTGCCTTCCGTCTCTGATGATGACGGAGACACCAATTCTTCCTCAAATTCATTGGAACTAAATGAACCAGAGTGATTCCTTTGCCTTGTTTTTTCCATCATAGCTGCATTAGTAGCCATGACATGTCTCAATGAGTCATTTAGGTAACGATTCAATAAGCTGCTTTTGTATTTGGGGGGTGACACATAATCCTCATTGGCACTTGTTTCTGGTCTCACTCCTGTTTTTATTACTGTATTTTCAGTTTTAATCACAGTGTGATGAACCGGTTTGTTATATCCCCCTTCATTCATATGGTTTCTTGGAGGATTTTCTCCATCTGAAAACAAAAGAACAAAGAGGCAGAACACATCAAATATCTAATATTTAACAAGAAGCTTCCTCTACCTGTTTTAAATTGCTATAAATATAGCTAAAAGTAGACAATAACTTTAGCCTTCAGCATTAGAAAATTATTTTCTTCTGTTCACACATTGCTCACAGTAGTTCCCAGGCTTCTCAGATGTTTCAGCTATTCCAAATTAATTAACTTAGAAAACAGTCTCTGAGTCTAATTTGTTCATGACTAACACAAGGCAGGTGGAAAAAAACTGAGAAGTGACCTAAATCAGTGATAAGCATTTAAAAATCTGTGCGAAGAAGGTGAATTCTTACTCTAACTTGAAAATAGGTTCTCCTGAATACTACAGTATTATACAAACTGAAACTGGAATAAAGGTAATTGAAGCATACTCTTCTAAAAATTCACATACAGCTTTCTGACAATGTTCTATAGCATTTGTTCCTGTCAATGTATCTCCATGTCACATCCAACTAAAAAAAGTACCCAGAGATATAATTAATAGAAATGTTCTATTAAAAAATATAGGGTGTTACTTAAAAAATTCCTACATCTGTTGACTTGGATAAAAAAGAGAATTTCAGTGTACCTTTTAAGGAAAAAAATGCTGGTAAAATACATAAAGTAAATAACAGTAATATTCAGTTTACCATACAACAAGCCTTACTGAACTTAATCAGATTCTCTTGTTAATCAGATTCTGTTGTTAATGATGTGATATTGCTTATAGCCCTTCCATCAAGGAAGGTAACAGTCAAGAGATTTCTCATTTCCTTAAACCAACAAGTGTAATCAATTTTTTCCTTTAATGCAGATTAAAGGAATAGGCTTGTAGAATCTAATGAACTAACGATTATATTTCTAGTGATGATGCTATAACACGCAACCAGACTGTCACCCCGATTAACCTACACAATCCCACTTTGCAAGGCTGCAGAGTAGCTGGAAGCCAAAAATGACACCTAATTCACAATAAGTAAAGATGAATCCACTGAGCATGTTTTGTGAGGAACCAGAGCTAATGTAGGGCACCTGGTACTTTCTAAGTATATTTTAACTGGTTTAAAACTGATAAAAAGAGCATGGACAAACCTTCAGAGCATGAATCATCGCTGCTCACGCTGAGTCGCTCAGCATTTCCTTGAACATATTTGTTGTACAGTTTTATTCGTAAAGCCCAGCTAAGATCTGGTTGCCTGACAGTATTCTTCAGGCGACGTCTTGCATTGGCAAACCAGTTTGATACCTGCATACAAATCAATGTATTAATTTCCCTTGAAAATGATGCAAATAAACAAATCTAACCCACAAAGTTTTCATGAGGTTTATGTAAGAAAACAGCAAAAAAGGGAAACATGAACAAAAGTCCATGAATACTAACCCAGAGCAGAGCAGAAACCTCAGAGAGAAAGGCAGTTTCAGGCTTCCCACCCTTCACAAGTGTTAGCAAACCCTCATTATTAGCAAGGTTTTAATTAAGGTGTTCCTAAATCCTCCTTTTCTATTAATCTTTTTTTAATTTTTTTTTATTTTAAAGATACTGCCCTGAACTTCTAATATGAATCTTTGATATATTACTAATATCCTACATTCAAATTAATAGGTAATGTTTGGTAATCTGCCTTTGACATTTATGTAGGCTATAATAAGGCTGTTGAAGAGAAAAAAAAACATTCTGAATTTGGTTACATAAAAGCCCAAATTCTCCCTCATGTTTTATCAGTACTGTAAGTATGACAGAGAGTGGGTATCAGGAAAGTCTTACACAGAATACAATGTACTTGGAGTCACTGCAGAAATCAACCATTTGCTCTACAGAGCAGCAGCTTTTATGAACTCCTTCTGTTGTGGAAACCCTCAAAACCACTGAGGACGCAGATTCCTCACAAGGGGACTACTAAACAAGAGACTGGCTTGTCTTCCTTCTCAGCTGCACAGCATTTTTTAGAGTTTGACATTACAAAAGGCATGCATGTTGGTATCCTTCTAGCATACAGGGTCACCACAAAGTCAGGCTCAAACACAAGATTTCACAGTGCTTCAGGCACCACAGCAGCAAAAGAGAAAGCACAGTCTTCTGTGCCAGCAGTGGTAATTAAACCAAGTGGGATGCGTGTACTTGCCACGGCTTACCATGAAAGCATACCTAAGAAACTGCTGGCCTTGATTCTACTGTAAGTTAAAAATATATAAAATAGGAAATACTGATACTGACAGAGTGACCTTAGCATAACCTTACTAGAAGTGAGAGCAGAGGCACGTTACCTACACTCTAACAATATTTGTTTAATGATAAATCAGGTCTTAAAAATCCTATTTACTCCTTGCAGGAATAAGTGTGTTTTGACATGACCTCTGCAAGAAGGAGGTGGAGTAGCATTACTTGCAAAGGAGAATGTAAAGAATGTCGGGAGTCTGTAGTCCCACTCACATCTTTGTGTTGTGAAAGTGCACATAGAGGAAGCTGAAGACCACTGCAGTCATATTCTGACCTGGGAATGATCACACCATTCAATTTATATTAATCTGCAAAGCAAGTTAACACATATTTCATCAACACATGCTATGCCACCTGCTAGAAAGCCAAACTGTAGACCTCGGTGTTGGATTTTGGTCCTAGTTTTGTCACCTGTTGTACAAACTGCACAGAAGTATTTGGCTGATTATGCTGGATTGATTTATCTCTTCTAAGGTGATTAGAAGAAAAATAAACGCTATCTGCTTAAAGAGAAAACAAAATTTCAGTTCACCCAGAAATTAGCAGTGGCACCTTTAGCCTGTCACTGTGATTTTACTTAAAATAATGTCTACATGAAACAGGGTTTCACCAAAAATACAGTGAGCCCTGTATCAGTGCTCAGATGCCAAACACATAACTTTACACACCACATAGTTTACCGTAGGTTAGAACACCAAAACTGTAACTCGCAGAGAAAAGTAATTTTCATTCTCTTCCAAGGCTACTTGTTTATATTCATCACATTGACACAGCAATCATTATAATAAATGAGAAAGGGTGGACTGGAATTCATCCACTTTCTAAAGCTGCTAACAAACCCACTCCAGACTGCTCAGCTGAAGCAGCAGTCACCTGGCTCCTGCATGATTTAGTGTAACTCTGAAATCAAGTATGTAACAATAGAGATGGATCAATCCACGGTCTCACTGAATATTACAGCAGTTAACTGCAGCATCTTACAAAACTGACAGCTTTCCAGCCTCTCACGAGAAAAATTTCATTATGCTCCATTTCATTACATACTGGAATATTTCATCAGTGAAGTGCCATGTACAGAAAAGAAAGATGGGTAGTATTAGCATGACTCATACATAAAAGCAATTAAATTTAGCAGGAGTGATTTTTGTATGGTACTCTTGGTTTATTTTGGGCTCATTCTTCCAATGCCAATGCTTTGCTTTCCGCATATCAATATGAGAAGATGAGTCACATTTTAAGTCTTCTGCTATGAGAGGAGGAAATAGTAGTATTCGATCATTATCTCATAATGAGACAAACATATTGCACCCTGTTCTCATGCTTTTTATGGAACAGAGTACCATCACACAGCACGTACAGGTGCTCAGGCCCTGTCCGCATGGGTTTATGAAAGGCAGGTCCTGCTTGACTAACGTGATCCGCTTCCATGTTGTCTACCTAGACTCTAGTAAAGCTTTTGACACCATTTCCCACAGAATTCTCCTCAAGAAACTGGCTGCTCATAGCTTGGATGAGTGTACTCCACTGGGTAAACAGATGGCTGGACGGACAGGCCCAAAGAGTGGTGGTGACTCGAGTTAAATCCAGTTGGCAGCCAGTCACAAGCAGTTCCCCATGGCTCAGCTCAGTATTAGGGCAAATTCTGCTTAATACCTTTATAAATTATCTAGATGAGGAGATCAAGTGCACCCTCAGTAAGTTTACAGATGACACCAAGTTGGGTGATGGTGCTGATCTGCTGGAGGGCAGGAAGGCTCTGCAGAGGGATCTGGACAGGCTGGATTGATGGGCTGAGGCCAATGTATGAGGTTCAATAAGGTTAAGTGTCAGGTTCTATGCTTGGGCTACAACAACCCCATGCAACGCCACAGGCTTATGGAAAAGTGGCTGTAAGGCTGCCCAGAGGAAAAGGACCTGGAGGTGTTGGTCGACAGCCAGCTGAACATGAGCCAGCTTGTGCCCAGGCGGCCAAGAAGGCCAAAAGCATCCTGGCCTGTATCAGAAATAGTGTGACCAGCAGGGCTAGGGAAGCGATCGTTACCCTATACTCAGCACTGGTGAGGTCACACCTTGAACACTGTGTTCAGTGCTGGGCACCTCACTACAAGAGGGACACTGAGGTGCTGGAGTGGGTCTGAAGGAGAGCAACGAAGCTGGTGAAGTGTATAGACAACAGTTTTATGAGTGACTGAGGGAACTGGGGTTGTTTAGCCTGAAGAAAAGGAGGCTCAGAAAAGGAGACCTCATCACTTTCTACAACTACCTGAAAGGCGGTTGTAGTCAGGTGGGTGTTGGCCTCTTCTCTCAAGTAACAAGTGGTAGGACAAGAGGTAATTGCCTCAAGTTGTGCCAGGGGAAGTTTAGACTGGGTATTAGAAAAATTTCTTCACTGAAAGGGTTGTGAAGCATTGGAACAGGCTGCTCAGGAAGTGGTGGAGTCACCATCCCTGGAGGTACTTAAAAGATGGTAGATGTGATGCTTAGGGACATGGTTTAGTGATGGACTTGGCTAGGGTAGCATTTGGACTTTATGATCTTAAAGGTCTTTTCCAACCTAAACAATTCTATGATTCTATGATTATGAAAGCATCTGAAGTCAACATTTATAACACAAGCTTTCTGCTAAAGCACAAAGCAGCAAACTCAGTCCAGAAACACTTATTACAGGCTGTTCTTGGCTCCTTTAAAGCCAAGGCCAGTTTTGTCACTAATTTCAAGCAGCCCAAACGTTACCTTGTGTATCATGTGGTCTTTCAAAAGTTGCATGCCTACTGCTGTAGGTCCCAGTCACTACTAGTGCCTGTTTGCACTACACTTACTTAAGTATTACAAGAAGAAAAAAACAAAGCTGCCAAAAGCCATCCATCCTTTATCATGGTCCCAAGTTACACTACCATGACCTCCAAAAATAATAAAAGAAAACCAAAACAATGACTTACATACAAGCCAGTGGGAAAATCTTTGTCTCAGAAACCTCCCAAAGAACTATGCGTATTGAAAAAAAAAGGCATGATGAAACTCACTGTTCTTGTAAAGTAACAATCATGTAGTTCTTCAAAAAGTAAACAGACAAAACCCAAGGAGAAAGTTAATGGATGTGCTTTCCAGCATTCATGTTTTATAGCAACTCAGTCATTTCCAAAGAGCATCAGGTATTTATATCGGCATAATGAAATATTGGCCCTCTGGTTTCACTTCTGAAGAGGCTCTTCAGTTTTATTGTAATTTGTTCTGCTTCACTGCTTAAGAGTGGCCAAAGTTTCAGAAAGGGAACAGAAATCAAGCGATTTTCCTCCTCTGGTAATCCAGATATGCCTTTATGAACCTGAATACTATTAAATCCATAGCAGCACATGACCAATATATCAATCCTAGTATTGCAAAAAACTTCTCTTCAACAATACGGCCATTCATATTTCTTTCTGGAAGGAATACACAGCCATTTTTCTTTTTTATTTCACTAGAACATCTGAACCAAAATTTAAAATAAAATAAATCAAGCACTGTGGTAGTAATACAAATGAAAATGTAGCATTTTAATAGCATATTAATAGGACAAATTATTGGATTCTGAATTGGAATCTAATTGCAGTAAAATATAAAATGCCTTTTCAAACTATATTGCTTTTTTGGTTTCCTGCTTTGGCAGTTGGGGAAGTAGAAAACTTTGGACTGTTAGACTGAAAGCTGCAATAACATTTGCTTTGAGGACTCCTGAAGACCTTGTTGGCCCACTCAGGAATAAGTTAATCCAGAATTTGCCCCAGGTTTTGCTGCTACTTATTATTAAGAAACAAGATAATTTATGATACTTGTGAAATCCTACCTCCTTGAATGAATCTGACTTTCCCTCTGCAGTGCTGATGGACATGCAACAGAAACAGCCCCCCTGTGCCCAGGAACAGGAGGTTAACCCAAAGTATTTGTGAGGTGGAATAAACTGGGTGATAACAAAGCTAATGAAAATAAGTTGTGGAAAATCTGACATGCAGATACTGTCCTAATAGTATCAGTAGAAAACAGTGCTGGATGTTCAACTCTTTTTCTCACAGCAGGATCAGTTTTATCTATGCCAGTGTTCTGCAAAAGCTCCTTTGGATAGATGGTACATACTGGAATAAGGTTCATTAAAGAAAAGCATGTGGAGAAGAGGTACAGCTATCTTATCAATATGACTGTGACCAACATCATCTCCCAGGCAGCTGCTGAAGACTTTTACCAAGTTCGGCAGTCAGGTGAAAACCAAAAAACCCCAACTACTCATTCCCTAAATGGCATTTTGGCAGAAACTCCAAAGGGAATTTCAACAGTATCTTCTTCCTTCCCTAGGGCTTCCAATGACAAGGCATCAGCACACAAGGGATGCTGGGAAGAAGTAAAAGGTGTGTAGATGAGACCCTCAGTGACATGGTTTACTGGTGGTCGTGTCAGTCCTGGGGTAATGGTTGAACTTGATGATCTTAAAGATCTTTTCCAACCTAGTTGATTCCATGATTCTATGATTCCATACAAACAACAGCCTCTGCAGGAGTTGAAAACTGTGGGGGCAAGCATGCATTCCCAACCAAGAGCAAACACCACAAGACAGCACTGAGCAATGGAAGAAGGGATCGAAACAGGAGACAGGTCAGCGAACATGAAGGCATGAAACCCGGAGGAAACATCGTACACCAGTTCCTGGTTCTCCGATGATGTCTGGTGTTACTAGATTAGAAAAGCAATCACAAGAGACTGTGGATGATGCTTTTGCAAAGCAGCCCTCCTGGGGCAGAAGCAAAGCTTTCCAACAGATACCAAAGCCCAGACCCAAGCCTGCTTTCGATAATACCACTCCACTGAAACAGCTCAGCCTTCAGGGAAGCTATTTCAGATGCACTCAGTGTGACTGAGATCACAGCCTGATGCTTGCTTTCACACTCTCAGAAAACAAGAATTTTGATCTGGATTACAGTCTTGTTCTTTCTGGGCATCTGAAAAGTAGATGTGGGGTGTATGTTGTTTTGTTCTTCCAGGCTCAGGAATTACTGCTGGTGCCAGACATACGTATTTACCTCTCATACATATGCTACTGTATTCCTGGACTAAAAGACCATTGCACCCAAATGATGGAAGAAACATCTGGGGTTTATTTTTGATGGTGTGCTTCTGTAAATGAAGGTAGATGTGCTGGTTTGCACAGCTCTTTCAGGTATTACAGTTCATAGAAATAAAGCTACTCAATTCAGCTTCAGCGTAAATCCACTAGAGTCATGCGGCTCTAACAGAGATAAATGCAGCCCTCTGTGATTCTGTTTAATTTTATACTACACCTTACATAGATCATAAAACTCTCTGGAGCAGTGGCCATGGCTCACTTGATGCTTTTATAGAGGCTAACACAGCATATCCCATATCCCCATCATGATTTACCAAAGCTGCCACAAGACCAATACTGCAAAACCCCATCAGTTTCTTCCCTTGTCTGTTCATTCTGAGGCATTTATAACAGGAGGTCATTAGAGTGAAAGTCTCCCAACATGTATTCTGGATGTATGTTTTATATCCCATGTAAAAATACAAGAATGTTCTAAAAGCCATAGTCCGATAAAGTACTCCTATTGAGTGTGGCATCGGATGGATAGTGTTTATGTAATCATATTTTTAAAAGCCTGAGCAAACCTTTCATGTATATTTTTTAAAAGCAAGAGAAGTTGTTCTAACTGAATCTTCCAGTTATAACTGGCATTTTCTGAGACATTAATATTATTTTTGTCAAAGCTATAGTGTTTTTTCTACTGCAACAGTCTCACAGTGAGGTACTAAAGTGTAGAAGTTTCCTATTTTGCTGTTACTAGGATCAAAGTGCATAGCACAGGCTTTTTTGAAAGAGCACTCAAACTAATAATGCTGAATTATCACCTTCTTTTTCTAATATTTTACTTGCTCTCTCCATGTCCTTTGCAAAGTGACACATAATGTGTTAGGCTGAGTGCTGAGGACCCAATCCTGCAAACACATGTGTTTCATTTTATGCACCTAGCAGTAGCCTGCAGCAAGGAAATTAGATTACTCGCAATGCATAAATCTTTGCAGCATCCAGACCTGAGATAGCATCACTCAGCAACTGAGAACATTTAACCACCTACTTCTGCAGAGAGCCAGATGGCAACGAGAACAAAGAAGTGAGATTTATGAACATTTGCAGCCAGTTTTATGCCTCTTGCTGCAACCCAACTGCCAGTGGAGCTTTACCTGAGAGCAAAACAATTATTCCCCGCATCTAATTATGCTGTGATGATAATTCCTGCAAGACTGTGAAGCACACGCTGCGCCGCTGCATACAGCGTGCATGGGAATACTAACAGCTGTGCAACAGGTGATGATTATTCTCAGAACAACATAACTGTTCCCATTCTCAACCGTTTTCAAAAGGGAAAAGAGCAGCTCCCCACAGCTTCCTCAGCAATTCCTATTCTGTGCTGAAATCTCCCATTATTCTATTTTTTACCTGAAGATTTTTAAAGACTAAGCAAACATATTTCCACTGCATTTATGAATGAGATTAAAGGATGAGGACATCTCTTCCTAGGAGGGAAAGCACACACCTTTTGCCTATTGCCTTTAGCACCTCTCCAGCCAGGATAGCACAGATGTGGGGATTCCTGTTTGGGGGATACAGTCCTGCTGGCAGGGGAGCCTCAGGTCGGCAGAGGGACAGATGCGCACAGGATCTTGCTGGCCACACTGACGCCTCTCCTCATACCGTGTTGCCTCTTTGTTCAGGTCACAGAGGGGCCTGGGCTGCTGCTGTCCCTTGTCCCTGTCCCTCCCGTCCATGAGATGCCCCGGAGCAGTCGCCAGAGGTGGGGAGAGGGGTTCCCTTACCTGCACCAGGGTCATCTGGGAGCCGAGCGCCAGCAGGATCTTCTCAGTCTTGGTGGGGTAGGGGTTGTCGCGGTGCTTGTAGAGCCACTGCTTGAGCGGCCGCGCCATGTCTT